GCAGAAGTGAAAGTGCAGCAGCTGATCGGCCGGGAGGACACCGGCCCGAGGCTCTGCTCAGGACCGGCGGCGCGGAGGCCTCTCTGCGCACCGGAACCGGGGAGATCTGCGCGCGTCCCCCTCAGGCCCGTTTTTTCTTGCGCTTTGGCGGTGACGCGCGACTTGGCAACGACTTGGCGGGCAAAGGTAGGAATGTTTCCTGATCAGCGGAGCAGAACAGAAAGAGGGCACGATCAGATGGGAGAGGTTTCTGACGAAGTCACCATATATATATATATATATATATATTCTTCACAATAAGGCGTGCGTTCTCCTCATGCCATCCAGCAAACTGAACCTGTTCCTCCACTTCTCGTCTGTGGGCGGAGGTGTTTGTTTCGTTCTCTTCAGTCTGTTGACTCTCTCATCAGCTCTTCATCCCTTTCCACGTTTCCTCTTTTCTACTTTTTGATTTGCCTCCATCGTCTCTGCGGGTGAGTGTCTGCTTAGATGGTACTACTGATTCTGTATCTGTTCTTACGGGTTGTGAACATGATCACAACCCGCAGCCTGTAATTACACGAGATGTGTCTTTGTGTACGTTTGTGTGGCCAACGCAGCCAGATGTGTAATGAAAAACTGAATGGAGAATGACAGCTGCTGGATTATAGTTAGTTGGAGGACTATGGGAGAAGCCGTCATTAGAGATTACCGAGCAAAGGATTGTTTTCACGACCCAAATACGTTGTCTGCTGCAGCGCGACGGGATGCAAAGAAACCAGCAGGAATACCGGAGTAACAGAGAGTTGTTTCAGTGCGTCCAAACGCCAGATTCATCTTGTTTTCTTATAAGAAGACGGCCTGAATATGTTTAGAAACCACCTCCAACCCGACAGATGGAGCTGCAAAGTCTTGCACAGGAGTAAAACGCTTTGCAGGCCCCTCGCTGGGATGTGCTCGCTCCATCCGCGCACACCGGGTTCTTGTGAACCTGAAAGTTTTGGTCTTGAACATTGAAAAATACAACAATGTATTCAAAATATAACGATGTGGACATATAGTATTTGTCTATAGTAATATAGACAAATACTATAAATATAATACAGTAATATGAAAACAAGTATTTTCAGGTTAATATAGTTTTTACAAAATCTTTTTTCTATCTTCACTTAAATATATTTTTTGATATTCGCTTTTTTATATTTTACGTTTGCGGATTTTCATATTTTTTAGATTTAAATCTTATATTTTCAATTTTCAGATCTTTTTTTCACATTCAGACATGAGCAGGGGGCGGGGCATCAACGGAGAGGGGCGGGGCTTCACAGGCACAAACCAGGGAGGGACATTTCCTCACATGTCGTCCCCTCTTCCAGCAGACGGAGGGCAGCATGAAGGTCGATCTGGAGGCGTCTCCGCCCGGCGGACCGGAGCCGCTGGCCATCCAGTGCCGAGACGTGTGCCGGTCCTACGGCAAACTGAAGGTCCTCAGCAACTTGAACCTGACGGTGCCACAGGGACACATGTGAGCGCACCGACTCAAACATCTGGACCGCTCTTGATTCGGCCTCGTGATTAAAGCTGGACTGGGGTTTTAAACCCATCTGGTCAATAAAGCCCAAATTCTATTGCAGGGGACAAAAAAGGCAGCTATTAGGAATACGGGGAAGTAGAGGTGAGAAAATAAGGTGTGAAAAAGCTCCCTCCACCCAGCTTTTATTACAGCGAGTATTGTATACCTCCATCTCCCCCCCCCCCCCGGTAGCACTAAACAGGCAGTGGGCTCTGCTCCCAGTTAGCCGGCCTGTTCCCAGCATGCTGATGAGTCATTTACTGCAGCCAGTCTGAGGAAGGAGACAAGCTTTTCTCACTGGTTTCCTGGAACACTTTTATTTGTAGTTAGTGAGCAGAAGAATCTGCTTTTTTAACAGCGTCCATGGCCTGCTCGTCATACTATACAAGAGAGAATATCGATCCGACATCCTACTTTATTTTTATGCTCAACAATCACACCTCAAAGAAGCACACAGTTCACAACACCAAGTACCTCCTGCATCGATCTGACTGATGATAAATGGTGGTTCTGTTCCGTCTGTACTGAGCAGCCTGATGTGAGACAGCAGAGTCTAACATCTGCTTTCTAATAGATAATCGCAGCGTCCCTCCTGTTGTTTAGTCTGACTGTAACCGGCTTTATCTCACACAGTCATCTGGTATCGACTTCCTCTGTGAGAGCTACAGAAGGGGAACTAAAGCTCCTTCTATATCTGACTCCTTGTGACCGGAAGTGGAGCGTTTTCACTTCACGTTTGTAGAGTCTGCTCACAAATCCACACGGCGCTTACTCTTAACAAACAGACCGTAAACATGCGGCTAATGATTATGTTCTTTGTTGATCCATTTCGGCATCAATCGTCTAGTTGCTTGTTCTATAAAATGTCTCCTAGAGCCTCAAAGGTCTTTTTGTGTCCAGAACTCAAAGCTATTCTGTTTGCCGTCGTAGAGGAGTGAAGAAACTACTAATTATCCAATTTAAAGCAGCTGGAATCAGATAAATAGTCATCTGACAACCAATAAATCCAAACACAAACTGTCAAAGCTGTTTGCTCTACTTTTAACTGAAGATGCTGTGGATTCTGCGTTGCAGTTACGGCCTGTTGGGGCCCAGTGGATGTGGGAAGACCACGCTGCTGAAATGCATTGTGGGAACCCTAAAGATCTCGCGGGGTCACATCTGCGTGCTGGGGAAGCCGCCCGCGTATCCGGGTCACGACGTGCCGGGGAAGATGGTCGGGTACATGCCGCAGGTACCCACACATCAGTACACATGTGTGTTTTTCTTTATATGTCGCAATGTTACAAGTCTTTTTCTTTGCTTAACTGAACTTCAATTAAAGTTTAATTACAGTTGAATCGATTTTAAACTTCGGCTGCACAGTTAGCTGCATTGCTCCGGGCCTCCGTCGATGAGTGTGTCTCGTTACTGTCGGACACCCGATGAGGCCGATCTCACACACACACACACACACACACACACATACACACACACACACACACACACAGGGTGAAACCCTCGGCATCACATTCGTCCTCGATGGGAAGCAATGTGACACCTCACCTGTAGCAGCGGGACCGTGGCGCTGGAGTCCGGTGTCACAAAGCGGAGGAATTCATTGACCTGCTTGGACGGCAGTAATACACAAAGTGTCACATTCATTCACCGTTACAGAAAAATGCATCATCCCGGTGAGGAGAACGTGCGTAAAACCTGTTGCTGACTTTTAGAGTTCATTCAGTAGGACTTTCCTCCCCTCTGGGTTCGTCTTTGCGTCCAACAGGAGCTGGCGCTCTACAACGAGTTCACCATCAGCGACACGCTGACCTTCTTCGGACGCATCCACGGCCTGACGTGGAAGGAGACCCGGGCGCGCATGGATTTCCTCGTGGACTTCCTGGATCTCCCTCAGAAGCACCGCCTGGTGCGAAACCTCAGGTGAGAACCAGGAGGAGGAAGTCGTGGACGTTGATGGACAGGCAGCAGTACGAGTGGTGCCGAAGCATCTCTACTGTCCTCTGAAGGATGTGCACGCCTCGTCAGTGTGACATTTTCTCTTTAAGGAACCAGGCACAGTCCCATGAAGTCAAAGGTCAGCGTTTGGAAGCTCCACTGAGACAGCTTCTCACGCTTTTTCTCATTCGCTTCACGGAGGAATGTTGAAAAAGCCCAGAAGCCTCATTCTGAAGCCGCACAAGGACACGTTCAAGCAATACAAATACAAAATAGGGCATTTGGCATTTGGCCAAATATTTGTGTTAGCTCAAAAAGTTATTTTTGAAAATGAGGCTGAAGATGTGAGAGAGAATGTTGCTTTATGTCTGTTTTTATCTAAATACTTTATATTTGTTATTCTAAACAACAAAACAACAAATCAGGAAATCAACAGAGAACGATGACCTACAATGAACACAAAAGACCAAAACAATTTAAATCAAAATAATAATAATATTATGAAATTGTGCTTGATTTGCTGAGTAAACATTTGCTAATTGTAAATTATTTAAATGATCCTTTATTTAAAAAAATAACATTTCCTATTTATTTACTTCTATTCTATTTATTTAATTTCTTATTTATTTTTATTTTGTATTTATCATCTTTTAAAAAAAATCTTTTAACTCTCTTCATTCATCTGGGTTTCTATTGTTGTTATTGTCGTGCTGTTATTCATGTCCATACACGTGACTGAGCTGAATCTATTGACCGTGAAAAGGAGTTTTTGTTTTTAAAGACGATCTTGTGACCGACTGCTCTGACTCACTGGTTGTTGACACCGTTCTTTGTCTGACTTTGTATGACAGACGCTCCTGGTATGAACAACACAACACGGCGTGTCGTACCTGTTCTTTCACTAACCTGTAATACAGCGCACCGCCAATATGAAACAGGTTATGAAAGATAGAATAAAGCACCCGGGTCCTGCTGTTTGTGTCTGAGATCAACTGGCTTGAC